GCCTTTGTATATAAGTGGTCCTTAAGGCAAGATGGACTGCACATTGCCACATTGGTAAATAAAATTCGGACATCTCTTAAGGCCATGCCACATCGTTCCGGAAATACCCGCAGGAATGATGTGTAACGCATGTTTGACATAAACATCTACTTGCTTACATATTTGTGTTCCTATAATCAGGCTGGAGACTGTGTTGTTAATCACAGAGGGGCTATTGTGGTGTGCTACACATACCAGGATGCATAATTATTACGTAATAGAACAGAGGAAGTGTGCTAGCAGAAGACATAGACATTTTTGTCGTTTATATACAAATACATATAATAGTTGTACATGTTTCTTTTGTGTTATACTGTTTGAATTCATTTGTAAGTACAACTGTATCAAAGAGTCGAAGAACGCGTATGAAATTTGAACTTTACCCTTCATGAAAATATCATAGGCTTTCTTGTTTAATAAATTGAAGTGTTGCCTATATATGTTATATGGGGCACGTGTAGTATTGTTTGATATATGTTAACTTTATGGGTTCTTGTTACACTGACATGGCCTTGTGTTACACTGACATGGCCTTGTGTTACACTGACATGGCTTTGTGTTACACTGACATGGCCTTGTGTTACACTGACATGGCCTTGTGTTACACTGACATGGCTTTGTGTTACACTGACATGGCCTTGTGTTACACTGACATGGCCTTGTGTTACACTGACATGGCCTTGTGTTACACTGACATGGCCTTGTGTTACACTGACATGGCCTTGTGTTACACTGACATGGCCTTGTGTTACACTGACATGGCCTTGTGTTACACTGACATGGCCTTGTGTTACACTGACATGGCTTTGTGTTACACTGACATGGCTTTGTGTTACACTGACATGGCCTTGTGTTACACTGACATGGCTTTGTGTTACACTGACATGGCCTTGTGTTACACTGACATGGCCTTGTGTTACACTGACATGGCTTTGTGTTACACTGACATGGCCTTGTGTTACACTGACATGGCCTTGTGTTACACTGACATGGCTTTGTGTTACACTGACATGGCCTTGTGTTACACTGACATGGCTTTGTGTTACACTGACATGGCCTTCTATTACACTGATATGGCCATGTGTTTCACTGATATAGCCTTGTGTTACACTGACATAGCCTTGTGTTACACTGACATGGCCTTGTGTTACACTGACATTGCCTTGTGTTGACATGGCCTTGTGTTACACTGACATTGCCTTGTGTTACACTGACATGGCCTTGTGTTACACTGACATGGCCTTGTGTTACACTGACATTGCCTTGTGTTACACTGACATTGCCTTGTGTTACACTGACATGGCCTTGTATTACACTGACATGGCCTTGTGTTACACTGACATGGCTTTGTGTTACACTGACATGGCCTTCTATTACACTGATATGGCCATGTGTTTCACTGATATAGCCTTGTGTTACACTGACATAGCCTTGTGTTACACTGACATGGCCTTGTGTTACACTGACATTGCCTTGTGTTACACTGACATGGCCTTGTGTTACACTGACATTGCCTTGTGTTACACTGACATGGCCTTGTGTTACACTGACATTGCCTTGTGTTACACTGACATGGCCTTGTGTTACACTGACATACACTGACATGGCCTTGTGTTACACTGACATGGCCTTGTATTACACTGAGATGGCCTTGTGTTACACTGACATTGCCTTGTGTTACACTGATATGGCGTTGTGTTACACTGACATGGCCTTGTGTTACACTGACATGGCCTTGTGTTACTCTGAAATGGCCTTGTGTTACACTGACATGGCCTTGTGTTTCACTGACATGACCTTCTATTACACTGACATTGCCATGTGTTACACAGACATGGCCTTGTGTTTCACTGACATGACCTTCTATTACACTGACATTGCCATGTGTTACACTGACATGGCCTTGTGTTACACTGATACGACCTTCTATTACACTGACATTGCCATGTGTTACACTGACATGGCCTTCTATTACACTGATATTGACTTGTGTTACACTGACATGGCCTTGTGTTACACTGATACGACCTTCTATTACACTGATATTGCCTTGTGTTACACTGACATGGTCTTGTGTTACACTGATACAACCTTCTATTACACTGACATTGCCATGTGTTACACTGACATGGCCTTCTATTACACTGATATTGCCTTGTGTTACACTGAGATGGCCTTGTGTTACACTGACATGGCCTTGTGTTACACTGACATGGCCTTGTGTTACACTGACATGGCCTTGTGTTACACTGACATGGCCTTGTGTTACACTGACATGGCCTTGTGTTACACTGACAAAGCCTTGTGTTACACTGACATGGCCTTGTGTTACACTGAGATGGCCTTGTGTTACACTGACATGGCCTTGTGTTACACTGACATGGCCTTGTGTTACACTGAGATGAGCTTGTGTTACACTGACATAGCCTTGTGTTTCACTGACATGGCCTTGTGTTACACTGACATGGCCTTGTGTTACACTGAGAAAGCCTTGTGTTACACTGAGATGAGCTTGTGTTTCACTGACATGACCTTCTATTACACTAAAAGTCTATTCGCTACTGTGACATAGCTTTGCGTTAAACTGTCATGGAATATTGTTTAATTGACGTTGCCTTTAATTATAATGAATTGAATATACTTTTAATATGTCTTGTGTCACGTGTTAAGTATGTGTGTTTTAGGATGACGTGTAGTATTGTGCATGTGTGTGCAGAAAACAAAGGCTTGTTGCAGTCATGAAACTAGAATTTATCTCTTAGGTTAATGTTGATGCCATGGCAATCCCGATCTCAGAACGGACGTTACAGGGGATTTGTTGTGTGGACTAAACATTATCTTTCAAATCGTTATTTTGTTCCTTACTATAAAACCAGTATAAACCAGATATGAAGTAATATAAAAAAGACGATCGCGTGACAAATGCGTGTAATATCTACAGTGACATGAATAAACAAATTATTTTGTGATTGATCTGTCCGTGTCAAAGAAATCTTTGTGAGCCGACAATAAGCAGATGTTGCTTATATTTAAAGTTTGATTATAGCCTGTGTAATGTTGTTTACATGTGTATGTTTATAAGGCCCCTGTGTAGTGTTGTTTATATGTGTATGTTTATAAGGCCCCGTGTTGTGTTGTTTATATGTGTATGTTTATAAGGCCCCGTGTTGTGTTGTTTATATGTGTATGTTTATAAGGCCCCGTGTTGTGTTGTTTATATGTGTATGTTTATAAGGCCCCGTGTTGTGTTGTTTATATGTGTATGTTTATAAGGCCCCGTGTTGTGTTGTTTATATGTGTAGGTTTATAAGGCCTCGTGTAGTGTTGTTTATATGTGTATGTTTATAAGGCCCCGTGTTGTGTTGTTTATATGTGTAGGTTTATAAGGCCCCGTGTAGTGTTGTTTATATGTGTATGTTTATAAGGCCCCGTTTAGTGTTGTTTATATGTGTATGTTTATAAGGCCCCGTGTAGTGTTGTTTATATGTGTAGGTTTATAAGGCCCCCTGTAGTGTTGTTTATATGTGTAGGTTTATAAGGCCCCTGTGTAGTGTTGTTTATCTGTGTATGTTTATAAGGCCCCCTGTAGTGTTTTTTATATGTGTAGTTTTATAAGGCCCCTGTGTAGTGTTGTTTATATGTGTACGTTTATAAGGCCCCGTGTAGTGTTGTTTATACGTGTATGTTTATAAGGTCCTGTGTAGTGTTGTTTATATGTGTACGTTTATAAGGCCCCGTGTTGTGTTGTTGTGTTGTTTAAGGCCCCGTGTAGTGTTGTTTATACGTGTATGTTTATAAGGCCCCTGTGTAGTGTTGTTTATATGTGTAGGTTTATAAGGTCCCGTGTAGTGTTGTTTATATGTGTATGTTTATAAGGCCCCGTGTTGTGTTGTTTATATGTGTATGTTTATAAGGCCCCGTGTAGTGTTGTTTATATGTGTATGTTTATAAGGCCCCGTGTAGTGTTGTTTATATGTGTAGGTTTATAAGGCCCCCTGTAGTGTTGTTTATATGTGTAGGTTTATAAGGCCCCTGTGTAGTGTTGTTTATCTGTGTATGTTTATAAGGCCCCCTGTAGTGTTTTTTATATGTGTAGTTTTATAAGGCCCCTGTGTAGTGTTGTTTATATGTGTACGTTTTTATAAAGTCCCGTGTAGTGTTGTTTATATGTGTATGTTTATAAGGTCCTGTGTAGTGTTGTTTATATGTGTACGTTTATAAGGCCCCGTGTAGTGTTGTTTATATGTGTATGTTTATAAGGCCCCGTGTAGTGTTGTTTATATGTGTATGTTTATAAGGCCCCTGTGTAGTGTTGTTTATATGTGTATGTTTATAAGGCCCCGTGTTGTGTTGTTTATATGTGTAGGTTTATAAGGCCCCGTGTAGTGTTGTTTATATGTGTATGTTTATAAGGCCCCGTGCTGTGTTGTTTATATGTGTAGGTTTATAAGGCCCCGTTTTGTGTTGTTTTTATGTGTAGGTTTATAAGGCCCCTGTGTAGTGTTGTTTATATGTGTACATTTTTAAAGTCCCTTGTAGTGTTGTTTATATGTGTAGGTTTATAAGGTCCCGTGTAGTGTTGTTTATATGTATACGTTTTTAAAGTCCCGTGTAGTGTTGTTTATATGTGTATGTTTATAAGGCCCCCTGTAGTGTTGTTTATATGTGTATGTTTATAAGGCCCCTATGTAGTGTTGTTTATATGTGTATGTTTATAAGACCCCTGTGTAGTGTTGTTTATATGTGTAGGTTTATAAGGTCCCGTGTAGTGTTGTTTATATGTGTAGGTTTATAATGCTCCGTCATAAAATATTTGTGTAGAGGAATGTTGTCTCGGGTTATGATGTGTTTCTGTTGTGCACACGACGTCTGACCTTTTGCCATTGTACTAGCATCGGCTCACCGGAAACGAAAGCAGATTTTTTTTTTCATTCTGTCTTGCTACGCAAATGATGTACGCTGCCAAACTACACATACATACGCATTTATAAACGAAAGAAACCAGTTTAGAAATTCCGTAAGGTTTTTACAATAATCGACTGCTCGATCCGATGATATACACCTACCCGCGGAAGGTTGTATTCGAACTTCACTGTTTCAGGGCCAAACCACTGATATGACGAGCCATGGATAACACTGTGGGGCATTTAGCTCTGGTGATCGTAGCTCTGCTGGGGCCGCGTCTGTGTATCGCACAGGAATATGCAGGTAATGACGCACTTATCTCATTTTACGTGCAAAATATTGTTTATTTGTCTTGGTCACTCCCAGTCAAAGAGTTGTTAGACTCGAGCATGCGTGGAGTAAATTTTGTAGGTAGTATGGAGGACCAGGGACGTGAGTGTATGAAAATGATATACATGACTGCGTCCCTATGTGGGAGGGGCCACAATGGGAGATTTGAATCACTTTGTGCCGCAAGCAGTGCGCAAATTTGCTTGTCGTGATAATACAGTGTATTAACTCCAAAGCTCGGGATCACAACATCCGGGGCCTGTATAAATGTTTCATGCAATCGGTAAAAATAGCTTGTATGTATACTATAACTATTTATAGGGATTGGGGAAATACCAAAGTCACCTGTGCTTGGCCAAAAACAGTTCAATATTTAATTAGGTAATGATCACATATAGTTTACCCACCAGGAAAGCATGTCTGAAAACCAGGCTAAACTCAACACAACACAAGACCGACGGTCGATTGGTTTTATTTAATGAACAATCAAATATCTCTTTTGAAAAGTGAAATTGACCCGTTCCTATTTTGGCAATACCAACACAGCGGCTAAAATTGTTTTTTTAAAGTGGATACTTGACTTACGATTTCGAGTTAGCATACGTATATATGTATCTGAAAGATGTCACATGAGGGCAAATTAAACACGTGCCAACGGCGATTTCATTGGATACCAATCAATATATACCTGCCTTATTTGAGCTGTGTGGCGGGGGAATCCGCATGTATTGTTTCGCATTCACAGGGAGCGAAAGATGTGTAAATTTAGTCTGATCTGTACAATAGGGAGCTCATAGAACATGTAAATAAGGGATCCGTCGTTTAACCTCTTATTTCACTCTCATTTTAGGTCACCCGAGACAAAATCTCACGGTGACCTATTGCGATCACTTTCATCCGGCGTCACGCGTCCGTTAACAATTTAACATTTTGAAAACGCCTTCCCTGGCCTAAGATGAACAGCAATGGTGAATTATACAGTCCTCACCCCACAGGGGCCTGAGGGATGGGGCCAAAAGGGGTGAAATTGATCTGGATTTCAAAAATTTTCTTCTTTAGGATCAGATATGATAGAATCTTCAGGTGCTTTACCAAAGTTGTGAATTTTATGGCCCCAGGGTCTCACAGTTCCCCTTTGGGAGGGGGTAAAGTTTATCATAGTTTATATAGGAAAACTATTTTTCAACATAATTTGTTTAATTTCCATTGGAAATATTTCACTTGGTTAGAATTAGGAATGAAGGATGATGACTTGATGGTATGCCCATGTTGATCCTTACTGACCTCAAAGGGGCTGATGGGCGGCGCCAGTAGGGGTCAAATGGACTTAAATTTCAGAAATCTTCTCAACACCCAGGTATGGTAGAATCAAATGCTCTGTATGAATTGAGGCATCTTCAGGAACTTTAATTACCAAAATGAGTCTCACATTTCTACCACGGGAGAAAGCTTTTTTTTAACTTCGCTGTAATTTTCATAGAAAAATGGCATTTTAGTATAACGTTGGTTATTTCACACTGGAAATAACTTTATAAGAATTATCAATATAGGATGATAGTTTTGTTGTTATGCATGTTTTCACGCTGGCTTATTGTATTCAGTGTCACAATTTCTGCCTCGTGACACTTGATAAATACCCTTTAACATTTATATTCAATATTGCTTATCCCAGGTGAACGTCAAGGCTGTTAAGCATCTTGTTTTATAACCACTGAACCTATGAAACCTATTCCAAATATTTCAAACCATGAAAGCATATATCGTTAATTAAATCACTGACTTATATTCTTTAAAAAAAAATGCCAGAAAATATAATATGTTTAAAATTGTAAATCAAAGGCACGTGCATCTATTTTTTAAGAGGATATAAACACTACAGAGTGTAAATTGTACAAACAAATGAAATTAAGTCATTTTACACTTGCCTCTGTCCTCAATTAAATATCACCAGCCTTAATGATAGAGGAATGCCTTTACTAATAAAAAGTAAACAGTATATCTCTATAGTTTCCCACTGCGTTCGACAACAATGGCGGTCCGTGCATGTCATGAAATTAGAGTAATTAATTAAAAATCTTACTTCCTGAGTTTTATTTGTTATCGATTAGAATTTATTATCTGTTATTTAAAATCCACATTTTCACTCCAAAATAATCCGGAAAACTTTGAAAGCAATAACAATGACCTTTTTCTACTCCACCGCAATTTATACAAACTGTATTGAATAACAAATGATCTCTGGCTTGGCACATGTGATCTATCATTTAAATATTGCTGTACATTACTTCACGAGATATATATCTCTACATTTCTTACTATATTTCTCAACACACATGACGGTTGAAAAAAAGGGCTTATGTTTGACTCGAAAGATGACTTAACGTTTGAAACTCATTTTATACACATATTTAAATAACACCTGTGTTATCTAGTGTCCTTGAGTGACATACTACTACGTCAGAGCGTCGATAAATTGACGTCAACAACTTGCCACTATACATACATTGCGAGCCAAGATGACGTCAAACATTTACACGGAAAACCTCGTGTTTTGCATTTTTTGTAAAAGTAATCGTTCACTTAATGAAAGGATTATCAAATCAGTTCCACTTCATATGAGAATGCATGTCTCGTCCCAAAGTTTTCATTTTTGCTCGCTAGATACTCACTTATGCCAAGAAAAAAGGTTCTTAGAGACATCTCACGTGAGAGGGAATTTGTATACAACATTAGATATATTCTAGAAATAAAGTACATCATCCTCTGTCTACAACGAAAGGACGAAAGTAGGTTACGCTCGAGTTTTTCGACCAATTCACTTTGGAACAAGCATTTTCATTGGCCATTTTATGTCGTCTCACCAAAACATCTTATTGTAATGTCATTTTTGATTGGCCAATGCGGTGCCGTGAGAAAATATTAAAGGGAAACGATATTGCAATCATAATAATTTTTTTTTCATATAATTGATCCATAAAAACAAAACAAAACAAACAAAAAAAGAATATTCTTTGCATTCGCGATTTCGTGAGAGAATCCCCCGTTTTTGTGTAATAACAATTACATAAGTTAAAAAAAACGTGTCCAACGCTGAAACAACGTCAGAGTATAAACAATTTAGAGTCCGATACAACATGTCCCTACCTTTCAAACGTTGACGTCAATGGAATAGACAGACAATCGGAACTTTAAATATTGTAGTCTTAACCGAACTTGCTGAGTAATGTAAACCTTGTTGACGTCATATCCATGGAAAACAGATATAAACAATAACACGTATTTTTGTCATTTCAGTGCCTCAGCCATGTTTCTTTCACAAAACTGTAAATAGCACAGCCGAAAATGAACTACAAGGTAGGTAATCGATTAAACAAATAAATAAATTAATTAATCAATAAACTTGGCTTGTGTACTTCTATAGTATGAATGAGACGATTCATAACCATGATACTTTATCAAGTTTGCAGTAAAAGCTTGTTTATCAGTGTGAAAAAGATAAGTCCAATCCATGTTTATTTTTGTTTTGTTTGTTTGTTTGTTTGTTTTTAATTACTTATGCTATCAGGTATATGAATGCCACGTGACAGCAGAGAGGTATGTTCCACAGGAGACCGGTGAAATGCATAAAGTTAACTGACAACGTTCAAAATTTTACTTGCTTTAAGTGATTATCATTTACAATTGCGATGACAGAATGAAGGTATTATTACCAACGGCAAAAACGATGATGTTGACGATGATATCATATATGTCGTCAGATTGAAGATAACTACAATAGTGAGTTTACGGTACATGCTTTCATTTAGATGACGATATTCTATGTCATGAATACGATGATAAAATGGTGAAAGACTTATTACCTAAGACGATATTTAATGTACGATGACTTAGAAATGCTAAATGTAACGACAGAATGATGTTATTTACGATAAGAAATTCACAACATTTTAGATGATATTGTAAATTTCCGATGAAATAAAAGATAATTACGTTAATAGAATTATGATGTTTCATAACAATGACCGAGAGATGACGACGCTTAAAAATCGATGACACAGTGTAGTTGAGAACGATGACAAAGCGAGGATACTTACTTACGATGAAAAACGACGAGGCTCAGTTACAGCTGCAAACAATGATACTTAATTTCGACGACAAATTATCATATTAGGGAAATGGGAGTCTGGGAATTTCAAAATTATTTTGTTCTAACTTGAGATATTGTGAAGTCTGTCGTTTCGCCCAATAAAAGTTTACAAACTTAGTGATATGACAAATGATGCTGCAAGTTTTAAAGAGTAAATTAAAGAGGAGATTGTGTGTAAATTGTAAGCAATATTTTGTTTATTTTCTTTTATCAAGGAAGGTCGTGACCAAAGACAGACATAAACTACAGGTGATCGAGGTCGAATCACGTTCGTGCGTGTGTGTTTGTTTCCAAGTTAACTAAATCCTGATATAGAGTCATGACACTGCACGAAGTTGTCACGGTTTATTTAAAGTTACTGGCAATTATCTGAAGTATGTCAGGGTTATTGATAAATAAACACACTTAACTTTTCACTATAAAAAACCTCATTTTCTTTAATGTGTATTTAGATGTAATATATCACTATAATACTTTCCATCTCTGTTTTGAATTTTAAGTAATTTTATTGCTTTTCTCAATCTGTAGGTATGACTTTAAAAGACTGTGTGGTGGAAGATGGCGATATGAGTAGTAAGTGTATGAAATTTACTGTAATCAATAAGTGTATTTGTGATCTTAATCATTTGTCAACATCAGAGTGTAATTGTAAACATTAACATTTTTTCGACATTAATGCATTTATCAATTTATCAACATCAGTCTATATGCCAACATCCATATGTTAGTCAACGATTGTACAAAGACACACAAGTGAATGGAACCCTTTAATATAGAATCAGAGTTGTATACAGCAGAGCTAAGTAATCAATTAAACTGCACCATTCAGCTGTTTCGTCCTTCTAGGACTCGTCAGTGATGCTGCATCATACAGCTGTTTCGTCCTTCTAGGACTCGTCAGTGATACTGCATCATACACCATCACCTTCAGCGTTTGTTTCCCACCCACCATCACCTTCACCGTTTGTTTTCCACCAACCATCCCCTTCAGCGTTTGTTTTCCACCAACCATCCCCTTCAGCGTTTGTTTCCCACCCACCATCACCTTCAGCGTTTGTTTCACACCCACCACCACCTTCATTGTTTGTTTCCCACCCACCATCACCTTCATTGTTTGTTTCACACCCACCATCACCTTCAGCGTTTGTTTCCCACCCACCATCACCTTCATTGTTTGTTTCACACCCACCATCACCTTCATTGTTTGTTTCCCACCCACCATCACCTTCATTGTTTGTTTCACACCCAACATCACCTTCAGCGTTTGTTTCCCACCCACCATCACCTTCAGCGTTTGTTTCCCACCCACCATCCCCTTCAGCGTTTGTTTCCCACCCACCATCACCTTCAGCGTTTGTTTCCCACCCACCACCACCTTCAGCGTTTGTTTCCCACCCACCATCACCTTCAGCGTTTGTTTCCCACCAACCATCACCTTCACCGTTTGTTTTCCACCAACCATCCCCTTCAGCGTTTGTTTCCCACCCACCATCACCTTCAGCGTTTGTTTCCCACCCACCATCACCTTCAGCGTTTGTTTCCCACACACCATCACCTTCAGCATTTGTTTCCCACCCACCATCACCTTCAGCGTTTGTTTCCCACCCACCATCACCTTCAGCGTTTGTTTCACACCCACCATCACCTTCAGCGTTTGTTTCCCACACACCATCACCTTCAGCGTTTGTTTCCCACCCACCATCACCTTCAGCGTTTGTTTCACACCCACCATCACCTTCATTGTTTGTTTCCCACCCACCATCCCCTTCAGCGTTTGTTTCCCACCCACCATCACCTTCAGCGTTTGTTTCCCACACACCATCACCTTCAGCGTTTGTTTCCCACCCACCATCACCTTCAGCGTTTGTTTCCCACCCACCATCACCTTCAGCGTTTGTTTCCCACACACCATCACCTTCAGCGTTTGTTTCCCACCCACCATCACCTTCAGCGTTTGTTTCCCACCCACCATCACCTTCAGCGTTTGTTTCCCACCCACCATCACCTTCAGCGTTTGCTTCACACCCACCATCACCTTCATTGTTTGTTTCCCACCCACCATCACCTTCAGCGTTTGTTTCCCACCCACCACCACCTTCAGCGTTTGTTTCCCACCCACCATCACCTTCAGCGTTTGTTTCACACACACCATCACCTTCAGCGTTTGTTTCACACACACCATCACCTTCAGCGTTTGTTTCCCACCCACCATCACCTTCAGCGTTTGTTTCCCACACACCATCACCTTCAGCGTTTGTTTCCCACCCACCATCACCTTCAGCGTTTGTTTCCCACCCACCATCACCTTCAGCGTTTGTTTCCCACCCACCATCACCTTCAGCGTTTGCTTCACACCCACCATCACCTTCATTGTTTGTTTCCCACCCACCATCACCTTCAGCGTTTGTTTCCCACCCACCACCACCTTCAGCGTTTGTTTCCCACCCACCATCACCTTCAGCGTTTGTTTCACACACACCATCACCTTCAGCGTTTGTTTCACACACACCATCACCTTCAGCGTTTGTTTCACACACACCATCACCTTCAGCGTTTGTTTCACACCCACCATCACCTTCAGCGTTTGTTTCCCACCCACCATCACCTTCAGCGTTTGTTTCCCACCCACCATCACCTTCATTGTTTGTTTCCCACACACCATCACCTTCAGCGTTTGTTTCCCACCCACCACCACCTTCAGCGTTTGTTTCCCACCCACCATCACCTTCAGCGTTTGTTTCCCACCCACCACCACCTTCAGCGTTTGTTTCACACCCACCATCACCTTCAGCGTTTGTTTCCCACCCACCATCACCTTCATTGTTTGTTTCACACACACCATCACCTTCAGCGTTTGTTTCCCACCCACCATCACCTTCAGCGTTTGTTTCCCACCCACCATCCCCTTCAGCCTTCAGCGTTTGTTTCCCACCCACCATCACCTTCAGCGTTTGTTTCCCACCCACCACCACCTTCAGCGTTTGTTTCCCACCCACCATCACCTTCAGCGTTTGTTTCCCACCCACCATCACCTTCAGCGTTTGTTTCCCACCCACCACCACCTTCAGCGTTTTTCCCCCCACACACCATCCCCAATATCCTTTCTTGTCTTTCACATAAACGTTTACAAACGTTAATTCTCCGCCAGTTACTTTTGCAGTTTTTTTTATTTGATTGAACCGATATGTTGTATTTTTCCGTCAGCTCTATTCATTGTGTATATGTTGCATGATTTCTTTGAACCCCTCGCCTTAGTTCATCCACTTGTTTATAGTATTGGGTTACTTTCTTCTTCAACTTATAGGCGTGGCATTAAATTTCTTGTGTATTTTACCCATAGTGTCGTTGCTTCAGATACACATGCGAGAACTTATATTTACAGTTAAATGTAAATAGCCCGTTATACACTTAACTTTAAACTTGTATTTCAAATTATTTTTTATAATAACTGTATCACGTGTTTTATTTCTATACGAATGCTTTATCATTTCACTAGATACGTCTTTCTGTGTGACTGCACCAGGCCCCAACGGCTCCACAAGGCATGCGGTACGGCACGACTGCTTGTGTGGTGGGAAATGGGAAACGATACGAAAAGTCAGCCATCTTGACTGTGATAGCAGTATCTGTGAGTACATTGTTGCAAATAAACGAAATAAACAATTTTAGTCGACCATTTTTTTTCGGGGGGGGGGGGGGGGGGAGGGGGGAGGGGAATCGTGGCCTCCGTCTCCCTTCTGCCGTTCACTCTTAAACAATTATTCGCCATTGCTGTGTTGGTTGGAAGACGACATCCTTGACTTTGACAAGACTGATAATTGTTATCGCAATTGTTTAAAAGCAGCTGGACGGTTTGTGAAATTCCAGATGTAGATTGTATATGGGATTTTCGTATTGCCCAAATGGCCGACAATTTAGAAGATCAGAGTTTGACCTAATGCATTATTATCAGATACGTTTTGTTTTCACTATTTCTTGAGAAGTATTGCGACAAAATTATCTTTACTCAATATTTTTTTGTATACATTTTGCAGGCTGTAAGACCAAAATCTGGCATTGTCGTAATGGCGGAAAGCTAACATGCATTCACAACCTGATCCACCAATGTAGTTGTGCCTACCGTGAGTGTTTGATAAACCTTTAGATATTGTTGTTTTCATTTCGATTTCATTTTTTGTTTGTTTAGATAGCTATATAAGATTGTACAAAAGACGCACGAGTGAATAACCCTATTTTATTACACATTTAGAGCTAGAGACAACAGAGCCAGTTAATGAGGTAAAATGCTGTTTTGTCATTCTAGGATTAATTCCAACTGTTCCAATATGACTTAAAATTATAAGACATTGTTTGCTCTCGAACACCTGGTTATGATATATATCTATTTGTTATAGACTTTGTGTCGGAACTGGTATTTACGTATACTGAAACTTGTTGATATACATGAAAACTTTTTTATCATTGTATCTTAACCACCTAAGAACATAATAAGACCGACATTTTATTTTCTAAATTGTCCTAATATTTTCTAATTTAAAAAGAAATCAAAGATACCAGGTACTTATATATAGATTTGAGATAATCGATTGTTTCAAAGGACATTTGTACAAGATTATAATTCTCATCAATTAATTCTTTGTTTTCAGCTTTCCATGGTGATCGGTGTCAGTATGTTAAAGTAAGTGTTTAATCTTGCCCTTCAATGTTGCATTTCAAATGAAATAACCTGTATTTTACTAAGTAAAATGAATTTCATGAATGTTTCGTCAAGACTTTGTAATCATATCAATAAAATCAGTATGGATTCTAGAAATATTTAAAATCATAAACAAATATCTAAAATCGCCCTGAAGTAAATACCATCCCCGAAACCGCCTTTCTGAAGAACATCTGAAGGCGTCCGTCCTCTGGCATTAACCTTTCGCTTGAAACAACTACTCAATAATCAAAAAGACAAGCGTGCTAAATATAGACATATAGAATGGTGGTGCGAGGGTTATACCTAATTGCATGGTCAGAGGCTAAGTATGTTGAAATCTTAAAAATAGATTTTGTCCAATGACCACGGGACACAGAATCGTGATATTTGGCTAGTAGCATGCTGGGATGAAGAACTACCAAATTTATTAGAATTAATTACCTTGACACACTTTAAAGAAGCTGGGGTCAAATGTCTCCAACTTGTGTTTTTAACTTCTCAGTTAGTGAGTGACCTTGATCCAGTTTCATTGTGTTAAGAACTTGAAACTTCTTTTTAATTACCAGTATACTCTGGGTCTTGGTAACTGTATAGTAGTATAATTGAGAGTTGCAGTTTTAATTTACAGAATTGACTAACCTGACGAAGTCTTGCTAAGCTACAGAACAGAGTGATTCAGACCTATTGAACCTCTTCTTTGAGGTATCCACCGGCTACTATAAAATCAAATCTAAAACCAAGCAATCAAACACACTCATCTCTATTGTTCTATTATTTCTCTAAACTTTTTTTATTCCGTTCTTAGAGCAGATTCAGAAGATCACCATTCGCAAATTTGATTTGTTGGGGGCATGCTATAATTTCTGTAAAAACTTTTAAACCAGTATTTATTCCTTTTGGTTATATTCGTCATCAATTTTTCACAGGTGACAAGAGAGTGTTCGCCAAATGTATCGACACCCGGCTTGCAGAGCTGTGAAAGCAGCGGGGAATCAAAGACCATGTGTCTGTATACTGTCAACCAGAACCAGTTACAATGTGGATTACCGGTCTCAGAATCGGGTAAGGTTCCGAATTTATTTTCAGTATCGTCGAACACACATAATGTAAATTGAAGCTTCTACTCTGCTGTCCTACGATTTTTCATACAGTTAATATTAAGAATGCAATATAAATATATTCTTGTGAATATGAAAATCTCGACAATTCTGTACACAATGTTCAGTAAATTAGTGTGTTGGTCAATGTGCGTGATCTGCCGCTCCCTGTGCGTTGCAGTTTGTGTTTTACAGGAAGCTGAGAAATCAGTCCGCGATATTGTGCTTCTAACTGCCTTGGTGACATGCGGCGGGTCTCTCATACATTATTCTGTAAGAAATAAACCCGCTACTGCAATTAAAGAATTAAAAAAACCAACACACACACACACACAGTAGTTAGGTATACATATATATATATATCATATATTTGATCTATTTCAAGAATAAATAAATTTTCAATTGCTGTCATTAAATCCTTATCAATACCTGACAAATACCTTTATAGATGTGAGCAACCTGGCTGCATGTTCCATGATATATGATAGAGGAGTGCTTACGGAAAATAACGAAGTTAACTCCGTTACGGAAATACCCGATCAAGATTCGTTTTGGTCAAACTGGTCGCCATGGTCAGTCTGTCAGATGCCTGATAATGCTCAGTCAAAGGGGCCATGTAAGTGTAGGAAAGGGGAGTGTGAGGACGGAAGTTGTACAGGATTTGGAATAGAGGTGACAAATTGTACAGGTAAAACTTCTCCAAATAATACATATATGTAGTGTCACTACAAAGGTAAATTTGTCTAACATACAGATAAATTGTGAGATAACAAGATCTAAAATTCCACTTAAATCTCTGTTTACATCAATAAAACTTTTTTTTCCTGTATTTGTAATCTCAATTGGCTTCATTATGCTTAATCACATTAAAACGCTTACTAAAATGACATATCGATGCTATTTAAGTATGCATGTAAATATTTCGAATTCTCGGTCACTTCTCTGTACTTTACTGAATACTATATATGTATAAATCTATGATTGTATAAGTGCAAATTTGCATAATGCTTGCATGTGAGGTAATCAAAAAGGAGTTAAACTGTTGCTTTTCTCAGAGCACGGGCACTGGACCCCGTGGACACCGTGGTCAGCATGCTCAACTACCCGTGGAAGAACGGGCGAAAGAACTCGGTATAGATTTTGCAGTAATCCTTCTCCAAAATATGACGGAAAGCCATGTGAAGGACCGGACAATCAGAAAGAGGCGTGTTCCCAGGATCATCAAGGTAATAACGGATCGGACATTCGTGCGGACGAACATACAGATGTCCATATAATACTATATACGGACGTTCTGACATAGCATAGGGGGCTGTATCTATATTACGAGGGACTGTGTCTATATCACAGGGGGACTGTGTCTATACCACAGGGGACTGTGTCAATATCACGAGGGACTGTGTCTATATCACATGGGACTGTGTCTACATCACAGGGGACTGTATCTACATCACAGGGGACTGTGTCTACATCACACGGGACTGTGTTTACATCACGGGGACTGTATCTATACCACAGGGGACTGTGTCTACATCACTGTGTCTACATCACAGGGGACTGTGTCTACATCACACGGGACTGTGTCTACATCACGGGGGACTGTGTCTACATCACGGGGGACTGTGTCTACATCACAGGGGACTGTGTCTACATCACGGGGGACTGTGTCTACATCACGGGGGACTGTTTATTACAGGGTTCTGTCTCTATGTCACACAGGACTGTATATTACAGGGTTCTGTATCTATGTCACAGGGGACTGTATATTACAGGGTTCTGTATCTATGTCACACAGGACTGTATATTACAGGGTTCTGTATCTATGTCACAGGGGACTGTATATTACAGGGTTCTGTATCTATGTCACACAGGACTGTATATTACAGGGTTCTGTATCTATGTCACAGGGGACTGTATATTACAGGGTTCTGTCTCTATGTCACACAGGACTGTATATTACAGGGTTCTGTCTCTATGTCACACAGGACTGTATATTACAGGGTTCTGTATCTATGTCACACAGGACTGTATATTACAGGGTTCTGTATCTATGTCACACAGGACTGTATATTACAGGGTTCTGTATCTATGTCACAGGGGACTGTATATTACAGGGTTCTGTATCTATGTCACACAGGACTGTATATTACAGGGTTCTGTATCTATGTCACAGGGGACTGTATATTACAGGGTTCTGTCTCTATGTCACACAGGACTGTATATTACAGGGTTCTGTATCTATGTCACACAGGACTGTATATTACAGGGTTCTGTATCTATGTCACACAGGACTGTATATTACAGGGTTCTGTATCTATGTCACAGGGGACTGTATATTACAGGGTTCTGTATCTATGTCACAGGGTTCTGTATCTATGTCACACAGGACTGTATATTACAGGGTTCTGTATCTATGTCACAGGGGACTGTATATTACAGGGTTCTGTATCTATGTCACACAGGACTGTATATTACAGGGTTCTGTATCTATGTCACACACAGGGGACTGTATATTACAGGGTTCTGTATCTATGTCACACAGGACTGTATATTACAGGGTTCTGTATCTATGTCACACAGGACTGTATATTACAGGGTTTTGTCTTTATGTCACACAGGACTGTATATTACAGGGTTCTGTCTCTATGTCACACAGGACTGTATATTACAGGGTTCTGTATCTATGTCACACAGGACTGTATATTACAGGGTTCTGTATCTATGTCACAGGGGACTGTATATTACAGGGTTCTGTATCTATGTCACACAGGACTGTATATTACAGGGTTCTGTATCTATGTCACACAGGACTGTATATTACAGGTTTCTGTATCTATGTCACAGGGGAATGTATATTACAGGGTTCTGTATCTATGTCACACAGGACTGTATATTACAGGGTTCTGTATCTATGTCACAGGGGACTGTATATTACAGGGTTCTGTATCTATGTCACAGCGGACTGTATATTACAGGGTTCTGTATCTATGTCACACAGGACTGTATATTACAGGGTTCTGTATCTATGTCACAGGGGACTGTATATTACAGGGTTCTGTATCTATGACACACAGGACTGTATATTACAGGGTTCTGTATCTATGTCACAGGGGACTGTATATTACAGGGTTCTGTATCTATGTCACACAGGACTGTATATTACAGGGTTCTGTATCTATGTCACAGGGGACTGTATATTACAGGGTTCTGTATCTATGTCACACAGGACTGTATATTACAGGGTTCTGTATCTATGTCACACAGGACTGTATATTACAGGGTTTTGTCTTTATGTCACACAGGACTGTATATTACAGGGTTCTGTATCTATGTCACACAGGACTGTATATTACAGGGTTCTGTATCTATGTCACAGGGGACTGTATATTACAGGGTTCTGTATCTATGTCACAGGGGACTGTATATTACAGGGTTCTGTATCTATGTCACACAAGACTGTATATTACAGGGTTCTGTATCTATGTCACACAGGACTGTATATTACAGGGTTTTGTCTTTATGTCACACAGGACTGTATATTACAGGGTTCTGTCTCTATGTCACACAGGACTGTATATTACAGGGTTCTGTATCTATGTCACACAGGACTGTATATTACAGGGTTCTGTATCTATGTCACAGGGGACTGTATATTACAGGGTTCTGTATCTATGTCACAGGGGACTGTATATTACAGGGTTCTGTATCTATGTCACACAGGACTGTATATTACAGGGTTCTGTATCTATGTCACACAGGACTGTATATTACAGGTTTCTGTATCTATGTCACAGGGGAATGTATATTACAGGGTTCTGTATCTATGTCACACAGGACTGTATATTACAGGGTTCTGTATCTATGTCACAGGGGACTGTATATTACAGGGTTCTGTATCTATGTCACAGCGGACTGTATATTACAGGGTTCTGTATCTATGTCACACAGGACTGTATATTACAGGGTTCTGTATCTATGTCACAGGGGACTGTATATTACAGGGTTCTGTATCTATGACACACAGGACTGTATATTACAGGGTTCTGTCTCTATGTCACACAGGACTGTATATTACAGGGTTCTGTATCTATGTCACACAGGACTGTATATTACAGGGTTCTGTATCTATGTCACAGGGGACTGTATATTACAGGGTTCTGTATCTATGTCACAGGGGACTGTATATTACAGGGTTCTGTATCTATGTCACACAGGACTGTATATTACAGGGTTCTGTATCTATGTCACACAGGACTGTATATTACAGGGTTTTGTCTTTATGTCACACAGGACTGTATATTACAGGGTTCTGTCTCTATGTCACAGGGGACTGTATATTACAGGGTTCTATATCTATGTCACACAGGACTGTATATTACAGGGTTCTGTATCTATGTCACAGGGGACTGTATATTACAGGGTTCTGTCTCTATGTCACACCGGACTGTATATTACAGGGTTCTGTATCTATGTCACACAGGACTGTATATTACAGGGTTCTGTATCTATGTCACACAGGACTGTATATTACAGGGTTCTGTATCTATGTCACAGAGGACTGTATATTACAGGGTTCTGTGTCTATGTCACACAGGACTGTATATTACAGGGTTCTGTGTCTATGTCACACAGGACTGTATATTACAGGGTTCTGTATCTATGTCACAGGGGAATGTATATTACAGGGTTCTGTATCTATGTCACACAGGACTGTATATTACAGGGTTCTGTCTCTATGTCACACAGGACTGTATATTACAGGGTTCTGTCTCTATGTCACAGGGGACTGTATATTACAGGGTTCTGTATCTACGTCACACAGGACTGTATATTACAGGGTTCTGTCTCTATGTCACAGGGGACTGTATATTACAGGGTTCTGTATCTATGTCACAGGGGACTGTATATTACAGGGTTCTGTATCTATGTCACACAGGACTGTATATTACAGGGTTCTGTATCTATGTCACACACGGGACTGTATATTACAGGGTTCTGTCTCTATGTCACAGGGGACTGTATATTACAGGGTTCTGTATCTATGTCACAGGGGACTGTATATTACAGGGTTCTGTATCTATGTCACACAGGACTGTATATTACAGGGTTCTGTATCTATGTCACACAGGACTGTATATTACAGGGTTCTGTATCTATGTCACACAGGACTGTATATTACAGGGTTCTGTATCTATGTCACAGAGGACTGTATATTACAGGGTTCTGTATCTATGTCACACAGGACTGTATATTACAGGGTTCTGTCTCTATGTCACACAGGACTGTATATTACAGGGTTCTGTCTCTATGTCACAGGGGACTGTATATTACAGGGTTCTGTATCTATGTCACAGGGGACTGTATATTACAGGGTTCTGTCTGTATGTCACACAGGACTGTATATTACAGGGTTCTGTATCTATGTCACAGGGGACTGTATATTACAGGGTTCTGCCTCTATGTCACACAGGACTGTATATTACAGGGTTCTGTATCTATGTCACAGGGGACTGTATATTACAGGGTTCTGTCTCTATGTCACAGGGGACTGTATATTACAGGGTTCTGTATCTGCATAAAATTGAAACTGTAATAATAGAACATCTAAAACCCAATATAATTTTCTACTTAGTGATACAGCACAGTTATTAGCTACTATTTATAATCCTGTTGGTTTGTGTTAGCTATATTTAGCTTCAACCTATATACGGAAATACATGTACTACAAACACAGAAACAACTTCAAAAGTGGCAACTGAGTCACTAGTAAAGGTCATCCTTTTTAACTGTTTGGCTGCATGTACAGGAGCCAGAAATACATAGCGAGCTTAGCGAAGAAGGGACAAAAATGCCCGGAAATCAACGAATATAATATGTTGTGCGTATATTTCCAGCATCCGGACCAAACTTGCAGATGACCAATTTTTCTTCCTGGGCCAACATGACGTTTGAGGACGAAGTGCCAGGATGGCTGAAAGTGCGTACCAAGCTTGTATGCCAGTCTCATGAGAGCGAACTGAAGAATATCAAGGCAGGAGAAGTAGCCGAGTCATGTTATTTGCTGAAGGTTTCAGTAGAACACTGTCACGAAAATGACTGTGTCCCTCTTAAGGGCCTCCGTAAACTTATAAACAAGTCTTTCATACCGGAAAACTAAAAATAGACTTTGAGAAACCAAAATCAATGCATTTTTTTTTTTTAACAAAATTGGTGTCTCTTAATGAGGCTACATTGTTCGTACTTAGAACTGAAGCTGGAAATGACGTCATGCCACTACTACGTGCAACCAGTGTTGTTTGGAAAACTTAACCCAAATAGTATAATACTTCATCGTGTATACGTGTATATAGCTGTGATAACATCGCTTTAAAAGACAACAAGAACATGGAATGGCAGTTTTCTGTTTAACCTTCAAGCAAGGCTGCAGACAACAGAAGAGATGATAAAATAAGACACCTGTTTTATCATCAAAGCTCATCAATATCACTCTGGGTCGGGTTTCACGAAAATTCTTAAGTTCGTTCTCGTGCTCAAATTTGAGAACAGCCAATCAGAAATGAAGTTATATGATCTAACGTCATTTCTGATTGGTTATTCTCAAATTTGAGCACGTGAACATACTTAAGAATATTCGTGAAACCCGACCCTGACATTTATCTTTAAATAATCGATGATTATTGACACATTTGCCATACAATTTGTAAATAGAAATCTGATATACCACCAATAGATGATGAACCGTTTTTGCGGTTTTCCAAATAGTTTTGAAAAACTTCTTTATTCAAAGACTTATTTTTCTTCTGGTATTGGGCAATCTGAAATATTACAATATATGCAGTCCATTTTATTTTCCTCGTTGTATCAAATGACTATTTGATAACAGCATTGATATATCTGTATGCTGATACTTCAATTGCAAAATATAACCTTTTTTTGTCTTTCTCTCTCTTTCATAACTACCCCCTTAAGTTCGTTATTGCCGCTTTGCATTGGCATGAAGTAAAATTTTGGTTGACTGCATGTTTTTATGTTCAAATAAATTGTGGTGTTCATATCTGCATTGCGAATTTGTGACGTCAGCAATTATTAGATGTGTTACCATTCCAAAAAATGAATAATGAAAATTTATCACAAGTGTTTCCAATAGTATCCTAGTTATGTGGTAAACGGAATTTATCGTGAATTTCATTTGAGACTTGTAAAACAAATCCCGTTTTTCACTCTAAATTGCCAGAGGCTTGGTAAAATAAAAAAAAATAGTTCATAAACCTGGTAGGAAAAGTAATTTCAGATTCCTTTTTTCAGCACGTGTGGTTCTGTTCGTCTAATACCACAATATTGTAAATGATGTGTCTACCATTTGTTAAAATATTCAATAAATCAGTCTGATAAAAATGTGTTGCTAAAGCACCTGTTATTTATATCAAAACTTTTTTGAAGGGTAATGCGTCAATTTCCACATCCCTAACATCCATTTGCTAAATCTAGTACCATGGTACGTGTTGTCACACTGACGGTCACGTGACCAAACGCATACGCGTATCGTCCATTTTAAACATTGGAACGTGAATGTATACGACTTTATTGTGATGTGTGACGTCATAGGTTCATGTAAATAAATACATAGAAATTCTTTATAATGTCCATGTTTTCGTTTAACGTTTTCCATCATTGCCAACGTGTATTAATGTTCTCATTGTGAAATGTTCAACAATCTCGTCCTGTATACCCAATGTTAAATGTGCTAACTAATTGAATTAAAATTGTTTAAACTTTTTTTTCTTATTCATTTGTTTTTGTTTACTCATTCCGTTATACTGACAACCTTTCAAGGTGTCGTTTGACAATGGATTTAGTTTAAACATATTTTATTGCAGAAAGAAAGCAAATGGATTGGGCACAAGTTACAAGTACACTCTTTCCTTTAAAAAAAAACAACACACACACACACACATACATTAGAGAGAGAGAAGAGAGAAAGAGAGATAGAGAGAGAGAGAGAGAGGTGGTGGGGAGACAGAGAGATAGAGAGAGAGAGAGAGGGGGGAGAGAGAGAGAGAGAGGAAGAGGGAGAGAGAGGGAGAGAGATAGAGAGAGAGAGAGAAACAAAGAGAGAGAGAGAGAGCTCAGTATTTATGTGTACAAATACGATTCATAATACTAGAAATTGTTGTTAACAATTTGGCGGGCTTTTCACTTCTTTGGCGACAAGTTGACCGGAAGTTGACATTTATCCTGATAACGATATATGAGAAAGGTTCCTTGTTTGTTAGTCTCTACAACATATCCGAAGATGAACTTTGAATCTTGAAACGTTAAGGAGATATAACTACTTAATAACGAAGAAATACACTTTTTAAAGGTTCAAACATATTTGACCCCTGTGACCTTGAATGTCCGTCAAGGTTATTCATATTTGCAAGCCTTATAATGTAATATCTGATGATCAATATATCCCCAATATTAGTTCTCTAGCCCTTGTGAGACTTGACAAGAAGATTGTTGAACACTGGTACCCTAATTTGTATATTTGAACTTTGACCCCTTTGGGAAACCGGAAGTCGACATTTTGAGGGAAGTTTTCCTTATGAAAATCACTAGGAAGTCTCCACAGAAGGTTTATAATCAATTTTCATCATTGTATGCCTTCTCGAAATTGAGAAACTTTCATTTAACGATTTTTAGTTAATTGACATCTGTGACCTTGAAAGTGGGTCAAGGTCATTTATATTGTCAAACTTTGTTGTCGGTTACATATCCTTCTTGCACATGAAATATCAAGCCTCTAGGCCTTCTAGAACTTGAGAAGAAGTTTTTCAAAGATTGGTACCCTTAATAGCATTTTTCAACTTTGACCCCCTACCGCAAACCGGAAGTTGAATTTGAGGTACGTTTCTCTTATATCATTCGACAGGAAATGTCCACAGAATATTTATGTTCAAAGTTGAAGACTTTGGGCAGCTTAACAAAGGAGAGATTACCATTTAACGATTTTTACAAAATTGACCCCTGTGACCTTGAAAGTAGGTCAAGCTCATTTATGTTAACAAACTTGATAGATAATTGATCAGACATCTTACACATGAAATATCAAGACTCAAGGCTTTGCAGAACTTGAGAAGAAGTTTGTCAAAGTTTGTAACTTAAAATAACACTTTTTAACTTTGATTCCTACCGAACACCGGAAGTTGACCTTTGATCCCAGTTTTTTTCTTGTGAAAAGTGTTTTCTTATTAATTTACATGATATGATCGAAACTGAGGTCACTAGCTGAAACAGTTCTTGAGTTACTGCATTTTAGGTAAAATCGGAAATGACGTCATGGCGGCCATTTTGTTTTTCCGATGAATTTGAATATGTCACTAAATGATAGAAGATATCTGGGGAAATCTTTTTAGTAACAATTTGATAAAATATAGCCCATCAATATTGTTCTAGAACGAGTTTTTCCTATTTGTCGGCATTTTTAAAAGATCAAAGGAAATTTTCAAAATGGCGTACAGCGGAAATGGTAAACGTTTCAGAAGAACTGAAAACACTGAATTCATCGGAAGGATGTTCTGCATCGATCTGAAGAAGAAAATTTCAAGAAAATTCAAAATTGAAAAAACAGAAAAAAAATTGTTAAATTTTGAAAACTTTACCCAACAGCGAGCTTTTTTATTCGACATATTCTCTGATAACATATCATGACAAAAATTTAGATAAGGAAATTCTCTAAAAATAATATAATTGCACAAATTCTGTATAATCAACGGTATTCGAGATATTGCCGTTTTTAAGTTTTAAACTTATGACGTCATGGCGGCCATATTGGATTTTTGACCTACTTAAAAAAACGGCATCGACAAGTTCATATACGTATCTACATATAGGTGAATAGATTGTATATCTATATATTTCAATTTAAAAGATTACGAACCCACATGGTGTTATGTATTTTATAGAACAGCTGAAGTTTGCGTCGAATACGTCGTTGAGACAGTTTCCCAGCCAGTTTTAAAAACAGAGCGATTCCCTGCTACTGCATGAATGTAAACCAGTCACTGCTTTGAGCTTAAAGTTTTTTTCAAGTTCGTTAACATCAACAAAAGCACGTCCGTCCCATACTTTACAACAGTATTCCAGAAGAGGGAGTATATATAGGTGAGAAATATTCTATTTCAACTTTTGCGATTGAAAATAAATTTTCACTTTCGAAGTATTCCTTTTTGCTTATTAACACTTTTAGAAATGTTATGAATATGATAAATCCATTTACAGTTTGCACCCAGGAAAATACCAAATAGATGTTTGTGATATTCACTAAAATCAATATCGTTATATCATATTAACACCCAGCAGCTCTACATTTGTGTTTGAGATCAGTAAAGCCTCAGTTTTAGTGGGATTAGATTAACTTCACAAGATCTCTTTTAGCAATAGTTTCAAGTGCCACAGCAGAAAGAGAAGAGACTGTTAGGGAAGTATCGTCTGCAAATAGACGTGAGAGGATGTCAAGGTTCTCCGTTATATCATTAATGTACAAGGGGAAAAAGAAGAGGACCTAGGAAAGAACCTTAGGGGACATCAGCATTAGTTGTTTTAGTACTAGAAAATATCGATTTCGCACGTAATGAGAATTCCATAATTTTCCAATTTGTGTTCAAGACCTGCATGCCAAACTCGATCAAAAGCCTTAGAAACATCGCAAAAGACGAGACATGCATGATTTCCATTTTCGAGATTGTTACATATATTGTGATAAATTTTAATTAACTGATGAACTGTAGAGTTATCTGGCTGAAATCCGGATTGGTACCTGCATAACAAGGAGAAATCAAGTAAATGATTTTGGAGATATTGGGTAACAACTTTCTCAAAAAAAAAAAAAAAACAAAAAAACAACTTTTCCTACTGTGCTTAATAGGGCTATTGGTCTTGGACACTCTTTATCGCCTTTCTTAAAGGTAGGGTATTTTTTCCCCAGGAATTCGGATACATTCCTAGGTCAGGCGACTTTCTAAATATGATAAAAAGCGGAGCTGAGACAGAATGAGCAGTGTTTTAGGCAATTTGTGGCTAATTTTGTCAGGCCCACCTGCTTTATCTAGAGATTAGAGAAAGTCAACAATATCTTATTGACAATGGATAGCAATATGTAACACAATTTTACAAAAGTGCAATTCTTCAAGAACCACGGATCTGGATATGTAATATGAACATTTATATATATATATATAAATGATAATGAAAATCGGAATTTCGGAACAACACAATATACATTTTACTCGTCTGTTTTTTCTCCCTGAAAGTCAGAATTAAAATGTTTCTAGTATTACGATAGATGATAGCGGAAACCAAGCAAACAACCAGAACAACACGTATACAAATTACAACACATACGTACACATTCAAAAGTAAAGTAGAAAGGGTGCTTTCGTGTTTGTTACAGCTGAAGGACAACGTGATCTAAATCGTCCATTTTTTGTCCGAAATGTTTCGCTTGTACAATTACAGTATTAAATGTTTCACATTGTAGAAGTGTTATACTTCCTCGCGCTATAGACCCTTATCCTGTTTTGATTTATTAACACAGATGCATGTAAAAATAAGCTTGAAAGTACCTAACGCCCTCGATCTAAGAGTGTGCAACTTGAACTGGCGACATTCACCTCGATATTTTGATGAACTCGCCTAATTGCGGTTTAAGGTAGGACGGTAACCATACATTTGACGGCGGTGATAAATAACGTTTATACGTGTTTTCGTGGGTTTGTGGTTCATCGGTTCAAATAATCTTTTCTCTGCTTACCACGTCAACAGAAGAGAAATATTGTACATAACAAGCTATACTTCTCCGTGCATTAGAGCAATGTATTGAAGCGTAAAGCGATGCGAATTATTAATGGATCGTACAAAAGTCTTTTACGTATGTCTAGAACGTTGTAAAATGAAGTGTTTCAATATTTAAATTATTTGAGATCAGAATACTGTTTTTAAGCAAGTCAAAAGAGGTAGAAAGTTTGATGGAAACAATGGTAAGGTGTAAAAGATCGTTCGAAGGTCTTACCCTGGTTTGGGATACTATTATATACACAACAACCGCTGGTTTACTAAACGACTAATACCTATAATACCCTACAACCTACAAATCGGACCTGCATACAAAGAACTAGTCTCTATTGGTTATACAGAACGTGGTGCTACCTGTGCCAAGTGTTTTAATACCTTGTGTATGTTCACGTGCGTGGTGCTACCTGTGTCAAATATTCTAATTCCTTGTGTATGTTCACGTGCGTGGTGCTACCTGTGCCAAGTGCTCTAATCCCGTGTATGTCCACGTTTGTCGTACTACCTGTCCCAAGTATATGCTAACACGAAAAAGAAACGCCGGGTACACTAAATATACTACAAATGATTTATTGCTTGGCCTAGAATAATGACACTCGGTCAGGTTGATGTGTTGTTCGCGGTCACTAGGTACACGTGTTTAAAATCACACAATACCTGACCTCCGCGCTCCGTGCGAGGCACGTGCTAAAATACAAGAATCCCGTGCAGGGGAAGGTCATTGAGTTCGCCAATGGAAATTTTCAGTCTATTTGATACTGTTCAAGTATTCGGATTGATTTTTCAAAGTTTGATTCGAATTTAAGCAATTTACATCCATGCCACGATTCACGGAAGTCCAGAGGGGACAGGCTATAGGAATGCTTTTGCAGGGTCAGGGCCAACTTCAGGTTGCTGCACATTTTGGTGTGCATATTCGGACAATTCAACGTCTTGTCCAACGAGTGCGAGTGACGGGGAGGGTCATCGACCGACCGCGAAGTGGACGTCCGCGCGTCACGACACCACATCAGGATCGGTTTATAAGACTTTCTCACTTACGTAATCGCCATCTCACAGCTACCGAAACTGCAAATAACACTATAGGCAGTCATAACCGCCATATCCATCCTGATACGGTTCGAAACCGATTACGCGTCAATGGCCAAAGAGCCCGACATCCCTATGTTGGTCTGCCCCTAACTCCTGCGCGTCGCCAACGCCGATTGGCTTGGTTACAAGCACACTCGCCCAGAAATTTTCCTATGAGGCAACGGAGACGGGTATTCTTCACTGACGAATCCCGGTTCACTCTCTACCGTTCGGACGGGCGACGTCGTGTATATCGACGTCGAGGGGAACGTTACACCGACGCGTGCGTCGCTGAGCGGGATAGGTTTGGCGGTGGTTCAGTATGTGTTTGGGGCGGTATCTCCTATAGGTTTTAATCACCCCTGATCGTGATTGACGGTAATTTAACCGGCGTAAGGTATAGAGACGAAATCCTTCGCCGAGTTGCCGTGCCATGTGTGCAAGCACGGAACCTGATATTCCAGCAAGACAATGCCCGGCCCCATGTCGCTAGAGTTTGTCAGCAATTTCTTGCCAACAATAACGTAATCCCAATCGATTGGCCAGCATTCAGTCCAGATTGGTCTCCAATTGAGCATTTGTGGGACGAATTGGATAGGAGAGTTAGGAGACGTCCAAATGCCCCCACTAATCTGGTCCAGCTCACACGTGCCCAGCATGAAGAATGGAATAACATACCCATTGCAAGGGTTAACACCCTGATGAATTCCATGCATAGAAGAATCAGGGCTGCGACAGCTGCGCATGGAGGACACACAAGATACTGAAATGTCCGGCCGTGTTGCGCAATACAAGTAGGGTCATCGCTAAAAGGGGGATATTTTTGGCATAATTAGCATTGATAATCGATAGAACCTTCAACAAATGGTTCCAAACTGATGAAATTGTATACAAAAATGAATGAAATAATGTAACATTAAATCATATTATTTAAAAGAATCTTTTTAGGTTACACGGCGTTTCTTTTTCGTTTTAGTATATATTATTTTCATGATTAACAAGGAAGGAACAATAAACACATAGTAAAACCAGAATGAAGGGATAGGCCCATATTAGGACATATCTATCCAATATTACAAAACCCCAGAAGTTGACAGTCTGTTATCAATATGGCAGCAGGCATGCTTAACTTTCAAGGGGGTTGGACAAGGGTGGTGGAAACCCTGAAATAAGGGGACAGGAAACTGGGGTAAGGGGGACAGGAACAGGGAATTAATGGGCCAGAAATAGGGAATATGTTGGGAGTTTCAAACTGTCAGTCATGAGAATCGCAGTGATATTTTTGATGAATAAGCAAAAGATTAAAGATAACAGTACCTCAAATTTTGCCAATACAATATGTCAACTTGTAATTTATAAGAGGAGAGAAAAGAAGAGATCAAGTCATTCCTTGAACCTAAAAGATCTTTCAAAGGTGGACCACAATGTTCCTCTTGGTTCTCATTAAATGCCAAGATGATCAGATGATTTTTTGTATAAATGAATGAGGAATATCACAGTATATCTATTAAATCAAGATACCATGCTTATGTTTATCAATTTATGAAGATAAAAAGTCCTGTTTTGCCAATACTATCTAGATCCAACTCCTGTAACCATGTTTCATGAGGTGAGGTTTACATGGTACAATTGTATTATATCACATACAAACCCTCCTCTACCAGAAACACTGTTACAGGCCCCTGTGATAGTATACCATACAAACCCTCCTCTACCAGAGACACTGTTACAGGCCCCTGTGATAGTATACCATACAAACCCTCCTCTCCCAGAAACACTGTTACAGGCCCCTGTGATAGTATACCATACAAACCCTCATCCACCAGATACACTGTTACAGGCCCCTGTGATAGTATACCATACAAACCCTCCTCTACCAGAGACACTGTTACAGGCCCCTGTGATAGTATACCATACAAACCCTCCTCTCCCAGAAACACTGTTACAGGCCCCTGTGATAGTATACCATACAAACCCTCCTCTACCAGAAACACTGTTACAGGCCCCTGTGATATTATACCATACAAATCCTCCTCTCCCAGAAACACTGTTACAGGCCCCTGTGATAGTATAACATACAAACCCTCCTCTACCAGAGACACTGTTACAGGCCCCTGTGATAGTATACCATACAAACCCTCCTCTCCCAGAAACACTGTTACAGGCCCCTGTGATAGTATACCATACAAACCCTCCTCTACCAGAAACACTGTTACAGGCCCCTGTGATAGTATACCATACAAATCCTCCTCTCCCAGAAACACTGTTACAGGCCCCTGTGATAGTATACCATACAAATCCTCCTCTCCCAGAAACACTGTTACAGGCCCCTGTGATAGTATACCATACAAATCCTCCTCTCCCAGAAACACTGAAACACTGTTACAGGCCCCAGTATACTATACAAACCCTCATCCACCAGAGACACTGTTACAGGCCCCTGTGATAGTATACCATACAAACCCTCCTCTACCAGAAACACTGTTACAGGCCCCTGTGATAGTATACCATACAAACCCTCCTCTACCAGAGACACTGTTACAGGCCCCTGTGATAGTATACCATACAAACCCTCCTCTCCCAGAAACACTGTTACAGGCCCCTGTGATAGTATACCATACAAATCCTCCTCTCCCAGAAATATTGTTACAGGCTCCTTTGACAGTATACCATACAAACCCTCCTCTACCAGAGACACTGTTACAGGCCCCTGTGATAGTATACCATACAAACCCTCCTCTCCCAGAAACACTGTTACAGGCCCCTGTGATAGTATAACATACAAACCCTCCTCTACCAGAGACACTGTTACAGGCCCCTGTGATATTATACCATACAAATCCTCCTCTCCCAGAAATATTGTTACAGGCTCTTTTGACAGTATACCATACAAATCCTCCTCTCCCAGAAATATTGTTACAGGCTCCTTTGACAGTATACCATACAAACCCACTTACTCCAGAAATATTGTTACAGACCCCTGTGATAGTGTAACATACAACAAAGAAAACCCCTACGCTGTTTACACAACATATCTATACAAGTTTTAAACACTCATAGGAAACTTGAAGGCCATGGAAAGCATTACAAAAGTCATCATAGTTTTTACCAGGAAAAAAAAAACACTTCTGTGTATTGCGTTGCCAGATAGTCTCCAGGATACATAGCAGTCACACACAATACACTTCATTTAAGTCTATTCATGTCTATTTAAAGTGACTGACTTTTAGACCCTCTATAGATATTGCTGAATACATCTTTTGTAAACTTAAGGGTGTATGATATATTTAACAATATATGTTTGATCTTGTGTTAGAATTACCCCCTTTTTCTTGTTTTTCTATATTTCATTTCTAATTTTACCTGTATATACTGGAATATTGATATATAAAATATTTATCAGTTTATCAATAACATGATTTTCCCTGAAGAAAAACAAACAAATTCTCCGCTCCTACATCAACTGATGTGTATATCACAATAGATTTTTTCACAGGAATGGCCTTTTCATACATGCATATATTTAATATTATGATTATTTACATATCATCAGAAAAAAAACACAAGAAATTGTGGCCCCTGCTATTAACCACAGCCAGCTGATATATGAAGAAAATGTAATTTTTGTTCAAACTGAACTCCTGACCAAATTTGATTGAAAACCATAGATCAAGTTACCAGTGAAAAGGAACAAAGGCCTTACATGCCTCTTTGAATCTCATGCCACCTGACTTCACTTTCAGAGCATGTTTATTATTGTGATGAAAATAAGTTATTTGAAAGGGATATTGTTGTTACTTTTCAGAAGATAAAATGCTTATTCAGTATGAAACAAGAGAATAATCTGTGAAATGGATAATGTGTAAGATCCCCTTTTATTTTTGCATATGACTGCCATAAACTAGGACTGCCAGTTGTATACAGAAACAATTTGACACGGAGTTCAATAAATCTCATATGAGATGAAAACAACTATAATATTCTGTTTCTCACATAACTTTTTTTTAAGATACTTACCTGAAAACAGGAGTTTGTTACACTGATTCAAAATCTAATTTTGTGATAGCCTCAATCTTTATCTCTGATGACATCACATTGCATATGATGTCATCAAGCCATTATGTCACAGTGGAAACAACAGGAACTATCAGCCAGTTTCTAGGTCATAATACACATGTGAATGATGTAAGAAAGTCTATGAAACAGGTGTTATCACACAGATAAGTGGGCAGAAAAGTGATCATTATATTTATACTTAGGGTATCAAAATTTTCCTGTGTAAAACAGTTAAAGGAAAGTTTAAAGAGAATAAAAAAGGAAACTAAAACACAGATTTTTAAACAAGTAAGATTTTTATAAACTGATATTACATATACATGATATATAAATAACAATAAAAAATACTAATACATTATAAAAATGTCGTGGAGTAAAATTGTCAGTAGTCAGATTATTAATCTGTACTGTTTATCTTCATATAATCTAGTCTCCGATAAAAATGAAGTTTTGATGTAAATTTTGTCTCGTTTTAACAAGCAATGTTGGTGTGTAGCAGTTCCTTCAGCTTTTTGTTACTGCCATACCTGTAAACAAAATTAAACTTGTAAATAAAATGTTAACTGTAACCAAAATCTCAGGTAAAGTTATATACATCTCGTATGGCCTTTAGGCAAGTTTCTATGATTATTACCTAAAATGTGTACCTGTTATGATAATTAACACTCCCCGTATATGGTCACAAAGACAATGTGCTTATTTTCTTGTTACTTTCAATCTGTGTCATTTAGTATGTTTCTGGACACTTCTCAATTTATCTTCAACTCTTTCCCACCCAAATAGAAATATTTAGCATTCAATGTTCAAAGACAAATTTTAACCCAACACACAAACTCAATTATCACTTTCTGTAGTTCATGCCATACAACATTTTGAATTTTCAAGTCGCAGTTTCATAACTTTTTAACTGATCACGATATCAGGTTGTAGAATTTTTTTTTTTTTCATTTTCATTTTTTTCAATTCAGTTTGTAGTTGTGTATATAGAGTAAATGACAATAAATGACAATAAATGACAAATGTTTTCCATTCTTTCACTTTGACATTTTTGGGGTTTAAAGTCCTTGCAACAGCCAGTATCACATACACGTAAGCATGGCAAAATGCCAACATGAGGCCAAATGGTTCTGCGTGACTCACCTGGTATTCGATGGTTATCAAAATCAGAATTTGTGCTCATCAGAAATACATAAACACATAAATGGTACACCATTGGCTTTCAAAATGGGCACATCAAATCAAGTTTGCAAATTTGACGATGTGACTTTGAATATGGGTTAAAGTAAGTAAAACCAACCCTTAGATTAGCCAGCTGTCTTTCACTTCACACCTAGAATCTCTACAGTAGGAGATATCTCCCACCCTCAAAGTCAATAAGACAAACCCTTAGATTTACCAGCTGTCTTTCACTGCACACCTAGAATCTCTACAGTAGGAGATATCTCCCACCATCAAAGTCAATATTGTTTTAAACAAACTCTTAGATATGCCAGCTTTCTTTCATTGCACACCTAGAATCTCTACAGTAGGAGATATCTCCCACCCTCAAAGTCAATAAGACAAACCCTTAGATTGACCAGCTATCTTTCAATGTACACCTGAAATCTCTACAGTAGGAGATATCTCCAACCCTCAAAGTCAACAAGACAAACCCTTAGATTGACCAGCTATCTTTCAATGTACACCTGAAATCTCTAAAGTAGGAGATATCTCCCACCCTCAAAGTCAATATTATTTTAAACAGACCCTTAGATTGACCAGCTGTCTTCCATTGCAAACCTAGAATCTGTACAGTAAGAGACAGATGAACATTGGGAAGATGATAATAGTACTATTGAACAACTAATTACCTGAAATTCTGCACCTGAAGTAATATATTGTTAAAATGTATTCGATATGGACATACAGGTTTCTATCAATTAACAATGGTTATAAATCCTAAGAAATACCCTGAAGACATATATTCTACCAATCTGTCCTCAGTTCTCACCTTTACAGTACTGTCAACAGCACCTGAGAAGATTCTGCCCCTCGACTGGGCCAAACATGCAACACTGCCCTGATGTCTCAGTAATGTTTGTGTACAAATCATGTTGTCCATGCTCCAGACCTAAAACACAGAAGTAAAAAGAATCGTCACAATATCTCAAACTGACCAATAATTTCTCCTATTCTTTATTAAGTTTTTGTTTTAAGAATGATAAGATCTTTAAGAAATATTCACAATCGAAACAAACACAATATCAAATCCAGCATGGCAGAATGTGAAATTCAAACTAAGACAGTTATTTCGCAACATATTTTTCGTCAGGAAAAACTTGTTCCCAATGAAAGCTAAATGTAACTGAGAAAGCAAAACCAACATAATGGTAAATCTCCACCTATCAATTTTCACAAGAGAGTAAGTTGAAAACTGAATTATGCAGATCCCTGCATAAGATTTAAGAATCTGCAGAAAACAATGGGCTTCCAAAAAAATATTGAATGAAATATCCCATTTAGTAACATGCTCAATAAAAATTTCTGTACAAAAACAGCAGCCTGACAGGCCATGAAAGTACCAATTATAAGCAGTATTGGGAACAATTATGAAATAATGAAAATTCTAAATTTCAGCAGTGTAATGTACTCCTATAAAATCATTCAGTATCTCCGGTGAAAATGACACAAGACTTCCTTGATTTTATTTTTTCAACTGTCCAATACTTTTGACTCATTATGGCACCTCGCTCAGAGTGAAATTGAGTATGATCATGTGAGTACCTACATGTATCCCAAGTATGATTGTACATTCAAGTACAATTGTAATTGTGAATGTATTTATGGTCACATGATAATTGTAATGTATTTATGGTCACATGATAATTGTAATGTATTTATGGTCACATGATAATTGTAATGTATTTATGACCTGAGGACTTACCCAAAATGTACTGCCTCCTCCCTAAACAATATTCATTTAATATCATGATATATCAACTTTTTCATATCTTTTCATATTTCATGACTGTATTTTCGTGTAAACAGGGGACAAGACATTCTGATTGCCACTAGAGGGCCAAACCAATTAATTATAATAATATGGGGCCAAACTAGGTATTGTATATATCAAATTGTCACTTCCAGACTACAACTATGCCATTTGAAATTTCTCCACAGAGATCTCTGCATCGTCATAGAATTTACATGGAATCTCCGTGCCGTTACACCATGCAAAACAATTCTGCAGAACCTCCTTCTTTTCATAGAATTTACATGGAATCTCCGTGCCGTTACACCATGCAGAACAATTCTGCAGAACCTCCTCCCTTTCATGGAAATTCCATGGAATCTCCGTGCCGTTACACCATGCAAAACAATTCTGCATAACCTCCTTCTTTTCATGGAAATTCCATGGAATTTTTTACATATAACATCATCAAATTATGTCTAAGTTGAACCATCACGGAACCACCGTCCCATTACTCCATGGACGAAAAATCCACTGAATTGTTTCTTTCATGGAAATTCCTTAGTAAAAATGAAGAAAGGTGGGGTGATCATTTGGCCCCCACAATGATTTCTATTATTTTTTTCGCCATATGTAGATGCACGAAAATAACCTACAACAGCATAAATGATTAGTCATTAAAATTCTTATAGTCACGCTGGACCTCCTTGTATAACACCAGATTGAGTGACAAAGGTACCCTGACATAATGACAAATACTTGCTACATGAGAATTTTAAATAAAAACATTTACCAGCCTGAAGTACATAAAATGGCCGTTATTTTGATACCACATATGTTATATTGGCATAAAAAATGTAAGCATATTGATAACTTTGACTTAGAAAAAAATAGCAAAATTTTCACAAAATAAAGAATATATCAAAGTTTGTCATGTTCATTTTGTATAGTTGCAATTTCAGACTATTTCATACTTGTTTGAAAACTTTCTACATATATATGCTGTCTATTGAATAAACTTCAGAGATTTCAAAACTGGTAAAATACAGTTCTAGCAATTTAAACATGCTCATTGCATAATTGGCATAATCATGAAGATTTAATTTTTGTTGATTTTTACTGCCAAATACTGCTAAATTTTCAATTTTGTGTAGTACCAAAGCACATCAAGCATTTTGCATTTGTTTTAAAATTAAATTCAGTAGGTATAACTTAACATGGTGTTTTCTGCACTAGAAATCTATCCTCTAAAGAACTGACGGTTTAGTTTGTATCATAAAAACTTAACAAGAGGCCCATCGGCCTGAACGGTCATCTGACAAAAAGCAAGCCAAACTTTAACAACAGTGAGTCTGCTGTTAAAACAGTGGGCTTTATTCCTTCCAGCATCCTAAAGGCCCAATATCAGCACTCTGAGCCTTTTGGTTACTGAGAAGAAGTCGTTTACAGATTTTAACATATTTGAACCCTGTGATCTTGAAAGTGGGTCAAGGTCATTCACTTGAACACATTTGGTAACACTTCCTCAAAGCATCCTACAGGCCCAATATCAGCACTCTAATCATTTTGGTTATTGAGAAGTCATTTGCATATTTTAACATATTTGACAACTTTGACCTTGAGAGTGGGTCAATGTCATTCATTTGAACACATTTGGTAGCATGTCATCCAGCATCCTACAGGTCCATTATCAGCACTCTTGGACTTTTGCTTATTGAAGAGAAGTTGTTTGTATATAGAGAAGTTGTTTGTATATTTTAACATATTTGACAACTGTGACCTAGAAAGTGGGTCAAGGTCATTCATTTGAACACAAACTTGGTAGCATGTCATCCATTTTTGCATCCTAAATTTTCCATTATCAGCACACTTGGACTCTTGTTTATTAAGAAGAAGTCGTTTGTATATTTTAATATATTTAAAGAACCCTGTGACCTTGAAAGTAGGTCAAGGTCATTCATTTAACAAATTTGGTAGCATGTCATCCAGCATCCTACAGGTCCATTATCAGCACTCTTGGACTTTTGCTTATTGAAGAGAAGTTGTTTGTATATTTTAACATATTTGACAACTGTGACCTAGAAAGTGGGTCGAGGTCATTCATTTGAACAAACTTGGTAGCATGTCATCCATGCATCCTACAGGTCCATTATCAGCACACTTGGACTCTTGTTTATTGAGAAGAAGTCGTTTGTATATTTTAATATATTTGAACCCTGTGACCTTGAAAGTAGGTCAAGGTCATTCATTTGAACAAATTTGGTAGCATGTCATCCAGCATCCTACAGGTCCATTATCAGCACTCTTGGACTTTTGCTTATTGAAGAGAAGTTGTTTGTATATTTTAACATATTTGACAACTGTGACCTAGAAACTGGGTCGAGGTCATTCATTTGAACAAACTTGGTAGCATGTCATCCATGCATCCTACAGGTCCATTATCAGCACACTTGGACTTTTGTTTATTGAGAAGAAGTCGTTTGTATATTTTAATATATTTGAACCCTGTGACCTTGAAAGTAGGTCAAGGTCATTCATTTTAACAAATTTGGTAGCCCTTCATCCCAGCATGCTACAGACCCAATATCAGCACTCTGAGCCTTTTGGTTGTTGAGAAGAAGTTGTTTAAAAATTTCAACATATTTGACAATTGTGACCTTGAAAGTGGGTCGAGGTCATTCACTTGAACACATTTGTTAACACTTCCTCAAAGCATCCTACAGGCTCAATATCAGCACTCTACTCATTTTGGTTATTGAGAAGTCATTTGCATATTTTAACATATTTGACAACTGTGACCTTGAGAGTGGGTCAAGGTCATTCATTTGAACAAATTTGGTAGCATGTCATCCCAGCATCCTACAGGTCCATTATCAGCACACTTGGACTTTTGTTTATCAAGAAGAAGTCGTTTGTATATTTTAATATATTTGAACCCTGTGACCTTGAAAGTAGGTCAAGGTCATTCTTTTGAACAAACTTGGTAGCCCTTCATCCCAGCATGCTACAGACCCAATATCAGCATTCTGAGCCTTTTGGTTGTTGAGAAGATGTTGTTTAAAAATTTCAACATATTTGACAACTGTGACCTTGAAAGTGGGTCGAGGTCATTCATTTGAACAAACTTGGTAGCCTTTCCTCCAAGCATCCTACAGGCCCAATATCAGCACTCATGGACTTTTGCTTATTGAGAAGAAGTTGTTTGTATATTTTAACATATTTGACCCCTGTGACCTTGAAAGTGGGTCAAGGTCATCAATTTGAACACATTTTGTAGGGCTCCATTTCAGCATGCTATGGGCCAAGTATTAGCCCCCTAGGCCTTCTATAATTGAGAAGAAGTTTTTTGAATGAAAAGTTTACAGACGATGCACGGGTCAGATGACCTAAAAAGTCTGGAAAACCTGCCTACAGATGACGTCAATGCCCGCGACATGTGACGACGAACAAAGTGATACCTAAGTGTCCGCCAGCTCTGCAGGCGACACAATAAAATGCTTTAAAAAGCAAATATAAAATTTTTGCTTTTTTCGTTTTTGTTGACTGGTGATAAAATTCAAACAGGCAGAAATAAGGATCAAGAAAAGCATACACATGAAATTTAAGAAAGATCTATACTGTAGTTCTCAAGAGATAGCGATAAGGGAACTTCAATGCAAAAATCAAAGATGGCTGTCTATAAGCAATTTTTTTCCCCTGATCAGTCCCAAAATTAAATGGGCACAACTAGGGACCAAGGGAAACCTACATCTGAAATATGGGATAGATCCATCCAGTACTTTTCAAGATATAGTGATAACAAATTCTTTTATGGAAAGACAGGCGCAAAGACGGCTGATGGATGACAGACTACAGATGCTGGGCGATTTGAATACCCTAATGATGATGGTCTGCTAAAAAGTTTAATAAAAATAATTTTTTAATCACTTGTATATTTAAATAAACGTATATATTTATATATCACAGAAAAATAGGTCATTTATTAAAGTAAATTTTTTTATATATATATCAGAAAAGAACAGAAAAACAGGTCAAATATTTACAATGTACATCTTTATCTAGGCTAATATATATTGGTAAATTCCTTAGAGAAGTATAAAGTACACTTTACTAATGGCCTTAAATCTTTATCCCCTTTCACAAATGATGTTAATGTCAGA